TTTCTGATCGAACGAGGTACTGAAGTCAAAAATCGAAGCACTTTTACTGCCCCAAAACGTGATGACAGACAAAAAAATAAAATAAAAAATAAAATATAATCTTATACAGTTTTAAATTTGTTCTGTTCGATATAATAGTAGTTAGTAGATAAGTAACATTTGTTTATTATGAAAATATAATTACAATTTTTAAATCATAATATTTATAGTTCCTACAATATACATCTACATTTTCCTTATGTATTCCACAATGTGTAGTTTTTGTACTGATATATATACCTATTACACTATAACCACAGGGACAGATAACCTAACCGTGATATGAACTCTTCCATGATAAATTTAATTTATCATGAATTACGAAGATTATTCAAACGTCCAATAAATTACATATACCTATACAAATTACAAATAATACAAGCCATATTCTTAAGGATTTTATAGGAGTGTGCCAATTTTACCACCTCCACATAGATTTTCGCCTGTATATAACCATACACATTACATCTTTTATTATTATTATTATTTATTAGTATTATTCTTATATTTCTCGAAAAAAAAAGCGGATAATTGGATATCGCTCTGCTATATACAGTAGGTTACTGTAACGGATGGTATTAAATCGTGGGCGGTTCCTGTTAGTACACAGCGCCGCAGCAGGCGAGACCAAGATTATAAAAGGGAGTGCGGAGCACAAAATCATTCAGTATTCCTTCCTACCTTACCATAGCAAGACCCACCCAGGGCAGACTTGCATGGTATAATATTTTCTCATTCTGACCTCACCGTAGCAAGACCCACCCAGGCAGACTTGTGCGGTGTTGACTCTCCACTCGAACCATAGACCTTATATAACCTACAAGGTCTATGACTCGAACATCAAACTAAGAACAAAATTATACAGTCCACTCAACACCAAAATTAAGAACACGGATAGTGTTGCCTACATCAGTTCAATTGGTATCATAGATTATAGATTTATATGGACTGTGACACGGATAAAGATAGTATCATTAATCATGACTACTGACTATGGATTATATAAAAATATTATCTATGACCTTAGGAGTTTAGCCAGATTAGGACAATATGGTTTGCAATAAATAGGTAAACACACGATTTAAATTAAATCGAGGTGAATATAAAAACAAAAAAACAATAATACGGGCACAATGGGAGGGCTTCAGCCCGTTAGCCCCCCCCCCCTGCGGACGCTACTACATACAATTTATAATAAAGTATTAATATAAGTCATTAACAACCATTAACTATTAAACTTAGAATATAAAGTACACTCTTGAAATTTCAAATACCCACGAATAATATATTTAAATTACAACAATATATAACTAAAATTGTTATTCTTGATTATTATGTAATTTCATTCAAATTTTGACATAAAATAACTATAAAAAAAAAAAAAAAACAGTTTGTATGGTTTTTATATTTTTCTGGAGGAGAATAAATTACTTACGATGAACCTTATTTTAAATTTTCAATCCTTAGCTATTCAATTTAAATGAATAATACATTTTTAACAATTATTGAATTTGTAAACTTTCCATTAAATTAAATTTGAAGTTTAAATAGTTAAAAAAAAAGAACGTGCCTATATGTATTTTTGATATTTCTCAGCAGCTATTATATAAACTTTTTGGGAACCTTATATTAAATTTTGAGTTTTTTGACCCAATGAATAAAATTGTAATTGAAATTTATAGAATAAAAAACTAAAATAACGAAAAATTTCAAATGTCTATTAACAACTTAAAATGTTGAAATATTTTTACCAAGTTTAGGAATTGATAAAATAAACATATAGTGTAAATTTCAAGTTTCTACAGTTATTTGTTTTCGAATGACAACAAAATAAGAATATTGATACAAAAGAAATTAAGTCTTAAGTGAATATTCAATGTTGTAATTCAAATGCTTATAAAAATTTGATTTGACTTTCCAGTAGGTAAACATTTTGTATTTGATAAAAGTGGATAAGCTCATGAAGAACCTTGTATTGAATTTTCAAATCTAACATTTTAAAAAGATAAATTTTTTAAATATTTAACTCAAAATAAATTGCAAATTTTCGTGATTTTTACGTGTTTTTTGTGTCTGCTGTTATTTTTTTTTAAGTTACATCAAGATCTAAAATTGATTTTCTTAATAATTTATTTTGCGTAAAAATTCTCGTTTTCCTTAATTTTGTTTTTTTTTTCCCCTGGTGCTTTTGAAAACTACTGGGAATTTCAAAATTTGACCTCCCCAATGCACCAACTAGATTCACTTTCCAACCGGAAAAACTACTGAGGTTAAAAATCGAAGCACTTTTTCGACAACTTATCGTGTACATGTACAGACATCTGTGCACTGCAGACATCGTTAATCGCCAATATAACTATATTAACGTTGACGTATTTAATTATTATTTAAATTATTTATAATTTATTCGACGCAACGCCATTTTGCGACATGGAGATTAAAGCTATAGACAATTTGTACTTTCACTATACATATCTATACATTGTATAACATCAATATTCAATATACAATAAGGTATAAAAAGGTAGGTACATAGTTAATTGCAATTATTATTGTATTGTCTATGTGTAATATCTATATTTTATATACCTAGTGTATATAATAGGTAGTGTATATAATAATTATAGACTCTCACTCTATTTAGAACATTTTTTTCCCGTATTTAGGATTTCAAAATCACGGTTTACTCTCAGAAATGAATGGTACTCCAATGCATTCGTTATAAATATGGCTAGGATTTTGATGCAGTCATTTTTTTTTTCTGATGTTTTAAAACGTTAGTCCGTATAAAAATACAATGTGATTTGGGTGTTACAGATTATTTTAGAGTAATTTTTATTTTTTTATTTTTTGACAGAATTAACTATAAATGCATTTTTCCCAATTTGTTCATAAAATGAATGAACATTGTTGCGATTCACAAGAGACTTTCGACAAACTGCGGATGGTAGGAATAATAAATTATATAAAACACGTCAACTTATCGTAGATAACAATTTTATTATAGTTATAGTAGCTTCTCCGCTTAAATTATCGCTGTTATATAAGTACCTACCCATTATGTGTTACTAATTTTATAACACCATACATATACACACAAAAAAAAAAAACAAATACACTACTGTAGAATCATTGTCAAGTTTTTTCCAATGTTTAAGCTATAATGATTTAAATTAATTTTTATACCTAGTGCATTTCTTGAGTTTTCTGTCATTTTCGCATATTTTGAGATTTTTTAGGTCATTAAAATCCTAGTCCTAGTTATATAAAATGTTTTTTTTTAATTTTAAATAGTTTTTCATATATTATATTTAGTGTGGATAAGAACTTATGTGGCTTACACGCAAGTGAGACTAATTAACTGTATTTTAATACGTTTATTTTGCAGTGCAATAGTTACAATTTTCTTTGGTTATATACAGATCGGCAATTTGTCTTCGTATTGACAAAACGTACGCAGTATAGCCGTATAGGTAACTATTTATGCACAGCCAGATTTAATATAAACACTGCAGTACAAAGTGGTACAATATTGTAAAATTTGCATATTCTATATTCAATATATGTATACAGTTTTTATGCACATATGAAATAGATCAGTTTGTGGAATTGGATTATTACTTTTACTCTAAATTTATACACGACATGCGGTATGCCTAGTTAATACTTTGGTATATAGTGTATAGTGCCACTTTATACCAATAATAATACCATAATATATATTATATATAGTACAATATTGGATTCGTAATACGCTTACGACGATTTAAGCCGTTTAGTATCACTTACTCCGTGCAAAATATATATATAGCATATCTTAAAATGTAAATTATGTAATAATACCATTGATTCAATAACAAAAATAATCTTTAATAATATAACAAATCGTTGACATAAACAAAATAAAAATCAATAACAAAAACAAAAAAAACTGAGGTGGTACACCGCGATAACTGCCGCGCGTGTAATAATTCGTTGAACGAGTTTTCACAGCAATATATAATACGGTACACTACGTCATCATATCATTGTCATTTGTTATTTTATTATTAATATGATTTATGTCTACCTTATGGGTATATTATTATGTTTAATGGATCGACGACAATCATTCGTCTTCGTGGTGTCCGTAGTGTTGTGGGTGGTGGGCATGGTGCACGTGGTGGACGTGCGCGTTGAATCCGTTATGCTTGTCTGCCGTGTAAGTCACCTTGCGGACTCGACCGTCTGGCTCCACCAAGCTGTACTCGCCGTGCACTACGTCGCCCTCGCGGTGCTCCGACTGGTGTTTGTGGTCACCCGTGTGCGGGTCTTTGACGCCGTACTTGTACGTGTAATGGGGTGGCGCCTGTGAGTGTGTACAAAGTTTAAATATACTTATAAGTTTTTCCATTGGAATTTGAAATTATTATTATATAGATATTGTGATGACGAGGACCTGAGGTGAAGTGATTATGCGTACGTGTGTTGTTTGCGTCTTGCAACGTTTAGGTACAACATTGTGAATTTTCAAACAGAATAATCCATTTTTATACCGATATTAACATAATGGTAAATCGACCTATTAATCAATTTTAAAGGTGATAATAGCATTGTAATATCTATTCCTTCGTCATAATTTTTGTTTTATATTGTAATTTTGAAGCAATTTATAGCATTTTATAATTTTGATACTTTGCATAGTTTTATATATACAGACCGATTTTAAATAAAAATGTAAAAATCCGACGAGAAAATATGGATAGTAATATTTTTTTTCCTTTTAAATTTAATAATAAGTCAATTTACTTTAATATTAAAACTAACCATAAACAAAATTAATTCTGTTGAACGTAAATTTACCGTGTAGTTGAATGTTTGTAACTTTTTAAGATAAAACATACAGTAATCACGTTACTTAAGCGGTATTATATTATTAATTATTATATATTGAACGTCACAGGGAGTATTCGGGGTATCACGATTTTCTGTTGTTAAAAATAATAAGGGAATGCGAATTAACGCGCACTGGGACTTCTGTCATATTTTTGCGTCTTCAGTCGATGAATAGGTATTATACAATTCATCAGTCAGTGTGATGAATAACTCGGTTGAGAAAAAAGTATGAATGTAAATAATTATGAATATAATGTGTTTTACTCGCTTGTAGTGATACTTATTTTGTGGAAAATATATTAACAGTAATGTACTTACGTAATGATCGTGTCCGTCATGATGGGTATTTTCGAATTTCGGATGGTAAAATGCGTAAGATGTAGCGTCGTATTCAGCGAAAGTAATGGCCACTATAGTGGTCAATACGAGTAAAACGACCTGCGAATTTAAATACATTTTATTTAAGACTGATAAAATA